ATCATAAACTTGCTAGAAATAACTTGGATACAGATGGAAGTATACATCATATTACTAGATTTATGAATGAAAAGACAGAACAAAGAGGGTCGGGCAAGGCTGATCGTCTTGCAACTTCCTCTCTTTATGATTTACAAAGGGTTTGAGAGCTAGAAGGGGAGATTGGGAAATGAGCTTACATGAGGGAATCGATACTACATCAAGATTCAGACAAGGTAGTAGATCTTTTACAAAGGCTTTTGGTGAAGGTTGATCCTGAAAATGATGAAGGCTTGATGCTGACTACAGATTCGTATGCAAATCTGGCTTGAGCAGAGTTTGTGTATTTGTTTGTTTGATTGAGTGTCCTTATCTCTGATTTCTCTTTCCCTTTTTATAAATGATTTGGCTTGGCTGTCTGCAACATTGATCTTGCCCGAATGCAGCTGAAAGGTAGTGACTCGTCAGCTTTTTACTTGTACTGCCATTGTAAAGTACTTTTGGGCTGATTGGCTGGCTAGTCTACATCACTTGACTTCTAGGTAGGTGAGCAAGTGGCTCAAGTGATCTGCACTTAGTTGGGAAAAGGCCCTCTTCCTCCTTCTGGGCTTCGGCTGAGCCTTGGGCTTCCTTCCTTCTAGACCTTTTTCTAGGCTAACTTCCTTTTGAGCCCAAAGTTTCAGTTTTAACCCAAACATATAGTATATGCAGTAGCTTATTGATATGGAAAATAGTATTTTATACCTCAACCATGTCTAATTATCGTTGCTTCAGTCGTATTGTATTTGTGTTCATTTGGGTTTTTCCGTATGACCATACAACACTGTCATGTAGACCATATAAGACTACCTTCACGTAGTTTTATCAGTTTACTTGTGTTATAACATATTTATTCATAATATTATGACTTAGGTTAATGAAATATCAACTATATTAACTATCTCATCACTTTGTATTATAAGTTTATAACATAAGAAATAAAAATACCACTTAATAGTGTGACCGTTACGTTAAAAAACTCTGCAGTTGGGGGTGAGTTAGTTTGACAAAGACCCTTTGGACATATATATATATATATATATATATATATATATATATATATATATATATATATATATATATATATATATATATATATATATAGATAGTTACCTTGCACTTAAGATTACAACCATATATTGTTAGGAAAACTAATGAAAAATGTTTGAAAACTTTGAGTTTTAACGATAAGGACAAAATAAAGGGTAATGTAAATAGTAGCATGATTGATTTTTTAGTATAAAAATGTAGTTTTTCATTAAAATGAACAGTACCAAAATATTTTTGTTAAAGTTCTCTATTATTTAGTATATATTTACAAACACGTAATTTGACTAGCTAGATAGCTGTAATCACACGCACGTACTAACTAATACAATATTGTTTCGGTATAGAATACTAATGCTTGATTAGTGATAAATCCGAATTGAACTACAAACCCTATATATATAAGACAAGCTAGCTAGGTAGCTACGTCCCAACCGCTAGCTAATTAATCAGATCATTAGAATTATATTATTGTTAGTTTAGGCCAAGCAAATAATATAATGAATATAATCCTCTTTAATTATTTTTCTTTCGGGGCTAGCTCTTGCGTAGGAATACGAAAGTCTATAACTGTTTAACTGTAACTGACATCGACATGTTGATAACGTAACCTGAAACTGGAAGTCGGTAACGTACAACACATGAACAAATATGGAGTAAATTTCATGGCATGATGACTCTAATATTGTGAGACAGAATGTGTCACAACGAAATAGTTAGCATTGAACAACGTACATAAAATAAAATCTTATACGCTGAATTTTGACAAGAAACGATAGGGTGGTATTTCATTAAACTTCACAAACAATTATAGAAGTTGTTAATTGGGTACATAAGCTCCAGTGACCAAGAAATTGATTTGGAGTAAATTTGCACAGTAAAACAAATAATAGTAAACCCCTATATGGCTACCACAAACACTGTCCTAACCCTACAAAACATCATTAATACAAATCTGTTACAAAAACACGATAGATGCAATGGACTTATATCAGCGTCTGCATAGGTCATCGTATAAATGCAAGGTCACATAAAATCATCCCAATAGAGCGAGACCACAAAAAATCATCGTTGAAAGACAAGACCACGAACTCAAAGCATAAAGCGAAGACAACATCTAACCACCGCAAACACACGACCACAACATTCATAGGGCGAGGCAACGAAATCAACCACTACTTTGAGAAGGGACCACCGGTCAGCTCATCTTAGCGAGCAGGTCATGAACCAAGACCACACCTAAGACAGTGGCGCCGTCAAATTAGAATTCTCAGGCAGCATGTCTATCAGATATGAATGTGCAAGGATGCGCAACCACCAAATCGGTTAAGGGGAACGTCATTGCCATGGAAACAAGCTGATGGAAGTGAAACCAACCACCAGCAACCACAAAACCTTCCCAAACCACAAACCAGCCCCAATTTGAGGAACCTTGAAACGGGAATGGCTCAGATCTGGGTAGAGGCCGGCACACAACCAAGGACGAGTTACTCACAAAATGGTGGGAGAGCTATGGAGGGGAGGCGCTATAAAAGCTAAGAGAGGGTAGGGAGGGGGGAGACGCGGGGGAAGGGGGGTACGGGGAAGGGGGAGGGATTGAATGGAATAAAAGCGGTGAATGGGGTGGCAGAGGGTCGAGGAGGGGGAGAGAGAGGCCGGGAGGAAGGTGGGGAGTGACTGCCGCCGACCCCAAGTCGGAGCAAGGGGCCGGCGACTAAGATTGCAAAAATCTAGGGTTTGATTTTAGGGAGGATAAAGCTTATACTTTGTTTAGTTAGCATTGAACAATACGTTATCGGCACATTCCTGCTAAAAAGTCATTCTCATTGCATAACGAGCCAAATGTGGTCCTCCATAATGTGATGGACTGAATTTAGCGGCGATCGTACGCACATATAAACAGAGACTCACATGCATGCATGGCTGCGGTTTCAAATTTCCAAGTATCATTAATTATAACTTTAAAAAGGAAAACAAACAAAAAAATCAGAGAAAATTCAAATGAAGATATAACAGTTAACTAAATCCGTAGCCATGCAAAAGTCCCATCATCCTCAAGCGTTGCTGAATTTTGACCAAAAAGCAAGCTTAGCTGCATTGCACTTGCAGAACGTACGGTTGAGATTTGGCGTTCATATCTATTTTCGTACACTTATCTCCCTTCTGTGTTACTATATTCGGTAACCTTCAACCTTTTTAAAGAACTTTCATAAAACAAAAACTTTTAAAGATCAAAAGTAACAGAATGTACCTTTTAAAAATTGGAATAATTGAAATCATAAACTTGAGCCCTATTGAAAGTTTTGTTTCATCACCAGCAATCTGTTTTCAGACCAAAAAGAATTGATGATTAACTAATTAAACCTTAATATAAAAGTACGGCTCTATCTCCATGCAATCCTATATCTATATGAGAGAAGAAGATTATACTCCGGAGGGTTTTCTGATCTGGCCAACGTACTCTTAAATCGAATGAAAATTGTATAAGGTCGAGTGAAATAAAAATGCTGAAAAGTCTTTTTTTTTTCTTTTTTTTTTGAGGTACTTTACTAATGATGTGAAATACTTCAGCGCAAGTTTTTCTCCAATTTATATAAGGTATAAAATTTATCCCATGTTATGTTTTTCTTTTCTAGCTAATACCTGGTTATGCATCTACTAAAATTTGTCCACTAAAATTTTCCCATATTATGTTTTCTTTTGAAGCTTGGGATGCTGGGTTTTGCGTTAATCTAGGGCGTAGAGAGATTCTCAACGCTGAAATTTGGGCATCTTTTTGGGATTACTTGCTTGGAGGTTGGAATAAATGAGTTCAACATCTTTCGGTGAAGTCTGATTCAACAATTGTTGTTTGGTTGATATCACATGGTGCCACAGATAATCATCTTTGTGAATTGATTCAAGCTTCATGCGATGCTACTGAAGATAAAACAATCAGCCCCTTTGTTTAACAAAAAAAAAAATCCATTGAAAAGATTCAACAATCATACATTCTTGTTTATTCTACGAGCGGGTCAATTCTAGGGTTTTCGCGTGTACCAATCTACTTTGTTTACTACCATAGTGGGTTGACGACACGTCATAAACCTATCACCTTTGAAGCAGGCCACGTTGAATGACCAAAATGGCCATCAATTGTTTGGGAAGTATGAAAAATACCCCTTGACAAATTGACCTTGTGATCTACACACCATGTGCCACGTCAATAAGAATTTTTGTGTTCAAGTCGGGTCCTTTTCAAGTAGAACACGTCCAGAGCGCCCACCCGCGAACGTTAGGGTACCGTGGGCATTTCGCCCATTAAGGCGGCTAATTGTGCAGTGGCAATCTTGTGGTTTTGTCTCATTGAAAGTGACCTTTTGGGAACAAAAATTCCTTAATTAATAAATCTCCTCACAAACGGACAAGTTCTCGGCGAGAAGCCCTTGTCTGCCACTGCCCGAATTATTTAAAAAGCTTATACCATTCATACATTTTTTTTAATTTTCGTGTTTAAAATATTTAAGGAATTATCAAATTTTTTTATAGAAATATTTCAAAAATCAAGGATCTATATAGAAAAGGTGTGGTGAAATGCAAACTTTAGCCATTATTAGCAAGATATAGGAAAATCAAAATTTGTATAGTTTCTATCGAAGACAACTGATATAAATTTCTATATATCCATCGATATTTTCGTAAATTACCATATCGATATTTATCCTTTTATCAATATTTTAAACATTAATACACAACAGTCTCAATTTCTGACAGTCGAATTAAATGAATTTAAAAGAATCAAATAATAGAAATTAACAGAGAATGTGTGAGAGATAAGAAGAAATGAGGATCGCACCCTTTAAATGTAATATATCATTAAATTTAAAACCAACAAAGTTACTTTTAGGGGCATATATATAATCTACATCAAAGATAACTGTTTAGGGGCAAAGGAAGACCTGGTTCTTGCGTTCATATTATGCCAACAAAAACTCTCTCTTCACCACAATTGAAGGAGAATTTTCTGGGTTTTGTCTTCTCTAGACTTCCAACAAATCCCATATTTTCTGTTCAGTTTCTCATTGATTTAATTAATTTTTGAAGTAGTAGATATAGCCTTGCTTGAGAGAGAGAGAGAGAGAGAGAGAGAGAGAGAGAGAGAGAGGGAGAGAGAGAGGGAGAGAGAGATAAGTGGGGAAAGAAACAACGGAGAGTTTGGAAGTAAGACAAACAAGAGTGAATAAAAATCTATCTTCCCTTTATCTTCCTTCAATGTCAAATATCACAGGTAGTGCAGCTACTGGGAGCTTCTCTTCAGGAAATTGTGGCGGAGAAGAAGTTCAACAGCAACAACAAGAGCTATTAAATCACCATGCAAACCTCCATGGCTCCAACTCCTTCCTTGCAACAACAACTAATATCGATAGCAATGGTATCTCCACTGCTCAAGTACAAAAGCAACCTCCACCGGCTAAGAAGAAAAGAAACCTACCAGGAACTCCAGGTAGATCAATTCAAACTTCTTACTTTTCTGTTGACGTTCACCAATTTAGTCTGCTTGTCAGCTGCAGACCGGACCATGATGTGTAGTATGGCTCGCCTATTCTTTTGTAACTTGAATATGCTTAATCGAGCTTCATAGATGTTTAAAAAACTTTCATTTTAATTTCTTCAATACGTGTTATTCTTATCTTCTAGTTATTATCTCGAGTTTGCTCTATGAGTAATAATCTTCATTCTATGTATCCTTTTGGTCAAAATATGCATGCTTGCATATATTTAATAATTAGTTCAATTATTTAGTTCTTAGATAGGTAGCTAGCTAGCTAGCTATCTTCAAACAGATTTGATTCAGTTCTTGAAGGAGAGCCGTGGATTATTTGGTTTCCAGACAAAAAAAATATTGATGGGGCCAGAAAAAATGAACTATATGTATTATTGATATATCTATAAGTAGTTTGAAAGGGTTCAATTATTGGTTCAGTGTTTTACGATTATTGTAATAAAGAGATTGAGATCCTCTCCGAATCTCACATTCTGGAGCCTACGGATCAAGCAATCCAAAGCGTTCAAGTGAGAGTGATCATTTGGGTGTTGGAGAGAGAGATTGTGTGTAAGGTGGGTCAGTGAGATAGGCTAATAGGGATCAATTGAACACTCCAAATTATTCAATCTATGGACTCTTGATTGTGAGATCCGAAGTGGATTTCAATCCGTAATAATGTAGACTCTTGGTTTGCCTTGACTAGGGTCTCCCTCCTTTGTTTCTTTATTTGTGTGCTCAACTATTTCAAGTAAAAGATCTTCATATATACATTCTCAGTTGTCTGAGAACCATCTCATTTCCCTTTCCCTCATGTTGCTGACGATTTTCTGTCTTGATAAAATCTGCCTTGTAATCGAGTGTATACAACTGGCCAAAATACAACATATTATCTCCCTCTCTTGAGATAGTAATTTCAAATTGTAGTACACAAGTGTATTTTTTTTGTAGTCTTTTACTATTAAGCTTCCCCATCCACAATAAAAATGCTCCAAATTTCTTAATGCATTTAAACTTCTTAATGCTAATTTAATTAATTTCAAACATATGTACTAATTGTTTAAAAATCCATCTAAATGCAGACCCAAGTGCTGAAGTGATTGCCTTATCACCAAAGACCCTGATGGCCACAAACCGGTTTGTGTGTGAAATTTGCAAGAAGGGGTTCCAAAGGGACCAAAACCTCCAACTGCACAGAAGAGGTCACAACTTGCCGTGGAAGCTTAAGCAAAGAACAAGCACCGAAATCATTAAGCGAGTCTATGTCTGCCCAGAACCCTCCTGCGTCCACCACGATCCATCGCGGGCACTCGGGGATCTTACGGGCATCAAAAAGCACTTTTGCCGGAAGCATGGTGAGAAAAAGTGGAAATGTGACAAGTGCTCCAAGAAGTACGCGGTGCAATCGGACTGGAAAGCTCATTCAAAGATCTGTGGTACTAGAGAATACAAATGTGACTGTGGAACCATCTTCTCCAGGTAAATTAGTATTCCAGAAAGAGAATTGTTAAGCGGGCTCTCTCTCAAACGTGAGACTCTTTATGGATTCTTTATCACCTCATATTTTTAGCACAATACTTTATAGTGTTCGCACGGGAATTGACGTTAAACGCAAGGTGACAGAGAGTATGGAAAATCCTACTTTTGAGAGAGTCTCCAAAGCATTTTTTTTAGAGAAAACTTATAGTAATGTCTATATAATTACAAGAGCATTTTTGCTCACCACCCTAAACTTTGGTGTATGCTCACCATACGCCTAATCATCTGTCACGTGTTCTTACATTTAATCTTGGTTAATTTTTTTTCAAAATTAAAAAAAAAACATTTAATGTAAAACTTAACTAGAATTAAGTGAAAGAGCACATAACAAATAATTAAGTGTATAATGAGTATACATTACAGTGGGAGCAAAAGTGCTCTCGATAATTACACAATTTGAACAACTACGATGACAGATGTTTTGGATAGATAAGTTGTGCCGCTTGTGCATGCATGGACATTTAAAATTAACATATATATATATATAAGAAACTGTTATTAGCATTTTAAAAATCTCAATTTGCACTCCTCACAAGTGTTATTTTCTTTTTAAATATAGAAAATTTGAAGTGCCAAATGAAAATTTTGAAATCCTAATAACAATTCCCTATATATATATATCTTTAATATTGTCAACTTGAATGACTGAAACTAATCTTTCAAAAATTTATTATTGAAAGTGCTAATCATTCTTATTTAAAAAACATTTGTTCCTTGAACCTTCTATGCAATAGAATAATTGTACATGGTAACAATTCCATATATATATATATATATATATATATATATATATATATATATCTTTAATATCGTCAACTTGATTGACTGAAACTAATCTTTCAAAAATTTATTATTGAAAGTGCTAATCATTCTTATTTAAAAAACATTTGTTCCTTGAACCTTCTATGCAATAGAATAATTGTATATGGTACTTGATACATTAATCTTGTTTAATTTTGTCTGTCCTATACAACGCCGGCCATTAATCAAGAGACGTATTCGGTTTATTGTTTGCCTTAACTGGTAGGGCTTTTTGGCCTATAGCAATAGTAAGCACACAGTTTTCACTTTGTTAAATATGTCTGAATTGAGTCTCATAAATGAACTTTATACATTTTAGCTTACGATTACTATTGGCTGTCTATATATTGTGCAGAAGAGATAGCTTCATCACCCACAGAGCTTTTTGTGATGCCATAGCTGAAGAGAACAACGCAAGAAACCAAGGAGTAGTACTAATGTCCAACAATATTATGGGAGCACAAAACTTACAACAAGGCCAACTTTCCAACAGTGAGCTCATCATCTCCACATCAATGCCCATGAACAACAACAAAATCAACGATAACCCACCATCAGCAAGATCAGATATTACTACATCTGGTCAATTTCATCATATTTTTGATGCCAAAAATACCCCTTTAACCCTAGAACCCCAACGACCCTTCCCAATACCCGCAAAACCCTTGAACATGTCACCGAGATCCCTAAACAACAACACTTCATCATCTTCACCATCGTCATTACTCTTCGAATTAAATCACGGCGGGCACGGTCAATCACTCATCCCCAGCTCATCAGGCCACTTATCCGCCACGCAACTTCTACAAAAAGCGGCTCAAATGGGTGCAACTATGAATGGTGGTCCTAACCCTAACCCTGGTAGTACAACCATAACAAGCATGGCACCCTCAACCTATGGTACAACTACTGGTGGGTACAACATGAACCGCTTCATGCAGCAGAGAGATCATAACATTCCGCAATTAGAGACCTCGCCACAGTTTTTCAGCGCTAATTGTGCGCAAATGGGGATGTTTAACGTGTTATTCGATCATCATCAGAACAATGGTTTCTTGAAGAACATGGAACATGAAAACAATGGGACTCCAAATAAAATAGGGTTGAGGGGTGCTAGTAATGTGGGCAGTGGTGATACATTGACAGTTGACTTTTTAGGGCTTGGAGGATCGGGTGATATTAATAGACCAGAAAATTTTCATGATCAGCAGAAACAACAACACGGTCAACAAGATCAGTTGGGGTTTGGAGAATTTGATGATGATGATCACCTAATAATGCAAAGGTTTGGCTGATCATGATCAGTTTCGTCATGAAGGAATGAGATGGCTGATTCAGCGTAGTTTTTAAGTTTTACTTTTTGTACTATTAGGTTTTAGATGCTATGATCTCCATGTGATAAAATTTAGTTTTAGTAAATGAATTGTTTCGATTGATCTTCTTTTTCAAGTTTTTTTTTTTTTTTAAATTTTTATAATGCTTGTGTTCTCCCATGAGAAACCTACTTGTTTCTTCATTTACATGTAACGTCTCTTTACCGTAGGAACATCTTATCGGAACTGTTTATTCTCTTTATCATCATCCAAATATCATATCTACAAAAAATCATTCAACCTGGAGGCCATTTAGCCATTCATATGCATCAACTAAATAGACGGTTTTGGCAACAAGTAGTATCATCATGATGAATCGTCCATTTATTTGATTTATATGAATAACTGAATGATCCCAAATTAAATAAATTTTTATTATAGAATTAAATATGTGTGACCCATACATGTGTCACATAGACAAACTAACAAAAATTTTAACGGAAGCTAACGGGAGGGACCGATGCTACACATTTTGTCAAACTTAAGGCCCTAAATTAAATAATTTTTAGTTCGAGGATGCAATCTAAACTAGAGTGAAAGTTTGGGGAAAAATCCTAAATTTTACTCAATTATATTTGAAAATTAATTAATAATAAATTGTTACTACCTCATTGGCTAGATTATTGCCACTTCAATAAAATTTCTTCTGCTTTTGTGAGGGCTTCTTGCCAAGATTTCAACTCTTTGTGTAGATGTTTGCACCTACTCGAAAGAGATTGCTCGGACCGAGATGTGCCTTGAATATGCTCAATAAATTGGGGAAGGGATCCTCTTCGGATCTCTTCCTTCTAATCCACCAAATCAGTGGATCTATGTCATTGAAATTTGATCTAACGGCTGAAGTTGTTATAACTTTTAAAGTGGGCCCCGGTTTGTAGCCGTTAGATCAAATTTCAATGGTACGGATCCACTGATTTGATGGATTAGGAAGAAGGGATCCGAAGAAGATCATTTTCCAATAAATTATGCATGAATCTTATTCCACATTTGTTGCATCCTCATCTCATTTCATGTGATCGGGTGATGAGCAAACACTCACCCAAGCCCCATGCCAAGCAACATCTTCCATGATCGATCAATTTGTCCTATCACTCTTTTTTTTTTTTTTTTGGTAACAAACGGATTTGGAAAGTTGAAAACAAATATAGGAGTTTGTAGGAAAAATAAATATTAAGTTGTAGTGGGAGAAATGAAGAAGATGGTTGGGTATATATAAAATAAAATAAAATGAAATTCTTTTTTTTAACGATCGAATTAATTCTAACTGTTTGATTTTTCTTACTGCCGATTCCGACACACCAAAACGTGCTACATGGTATAACAGAAACATTTTCAAATTTTTTTTACCGTTGAAAATCCATAATCATTGGATTCTTCCGTTGGACTTGCTGCAGCGGGCCAATTGTTGCAGGTTTTGTCAGCTCACATCCTGATTCCACGCGTGGATTGCAGGCGCCCGTTGGAAAAAAAATAAAAAGATCGTGGCTAATTTCATGCGGACATCAACTGTACCTCTTGACTGAAGGCCGGGCTTAAATTGCACAGGCATTTGGACGGGCATGGCTTGGCCCACCACCTGCCCTTATTTCGGCCTGCTGGAGGTGTTTTGGGCAATTGCCATTTCCCTTTGCCCAAAGGCAACCGTTGAAAATGCTCTCTATGAGTTTTAGAAATATGAAGGGAGTACTAATTCTACCACAACCACTCGTTCGGATAAAACATGCGTTGAACTAAATAAGCCGGCACTAGTGCTTCAACAAAAAGATAAGACAATGCCGGCATTGCCCCAATACTTTCATGCATGCAAACATATATGCCTCAACCTGAACCAGATACGCATAATCACACCGTCCTCCGGCTGCCGGAAAAAGGGTTTGCGAGAGGTGAGAATAATCCGGGCAGAAAGGCCTCCGGCGGACCAATTTGCTTCACTACAATCAGGGTTTAGGCGGCGGCTTCTTCTCGGTTTAGGGACAGCTTCTGTGGTTGCTCTTGGTGCTGATTTTCTCGGAGTCACAAGTTTTCTTCTCGGGTTGTCGCCGGAAAGTAGTAGGAGTCTTAAGCTGGATGTGGTTTATCCCATAGGAGGCTACAGTAGGTGCATTGACACAAATGAAGGATTTGGTCAGTTATGTATTATGCTATTATGTTTGATGTAGTTTCGTCGATAAAATTATTTGGACACACAAAACTGACACGCTTGCTGACACACTCTCTAGTGCAGCTTGGTGTCTAACCTGTACCAAAGAGCATATCAGCATGTCAATATTGAGTGTCTAAATTGCATCGCCCTAATTTTGCGTTTAAGATAAATTGATGAATTAAATTTTTTTGAATGAATTTTGGACGTGACAGAATTTATATACCCAGCAAGTTGGGTTGGAGATCAAACACTTCTGTATCGAGCAGCAGAGAAAAAGGAATTTGAAAGATCACTTGATCCTCCTCCCTTGAACTTCAACACCAAATCCAGGACTGATGGCCGCCGACGAAATGTCAGTGAACCCGTTGTCGCATTTGGCCCGCCCGCAACCACCGGCGAGCTCAATGTTAGCGTCATTGTGTCGCCAGTTGCTCCTGATTTCAAGTAAGCAAATGAAGGAAGTCTATGGTTTCTGCACTTTCATGGCATTTCGATTTGCGGCTGATTTTTGACGTTGTTTTTCGTAGAATTGAAGCATTTGGAGGACCAAAAGAGGTAGGAGAAGCCGTGGTTAGGACCGTCACAGGATCCGGCAAACGCCCCGGCATCAAGGGAACTTTGATCGAATCAAAATTGAGAGAGGATAGTGCAAGCAATGTTAAGTACTACGAGCTTGAATTCAGAGTTGAGAGCCCCTTGTTTCACCGGCATAACATCGCAGTATGTTGCGTTCGTGGTGGTCGGTTATTTACACTTAATGCTCAGGCACCGGAATCAGCATGGCCGGAGTTGAAGTCTGACTTCCATAGAATTGCCGAATCGTTTAGCCTCACCTCTTGATATGAAGAGAGTGCATTGCCGTTTCGTGTTCGGCGATTCTCAGGTCGTCAATCACATAGTTACAGAAGAAAACTATGAAGTGTTGGCATTTACTCACTTTTTCATTAACTAATGGCACAAGTGCTACATTGTTGTTCGAAAAATTCTTCAAGTGCAGCATATAAGCACATTTATACATCGAGAAAAACACGTCAAGGCGTCTAGCCGCCCCTCTAATGAAATTTTCTTCATCTAAACCGTGCAGACGGATTCAAGCACAAGTTATCTGTCTTCGTTTAGTCATTTTCTCCAAATTCTCAGAAACTGCCGCGGTCAGATTTGGATCTTCAAATCCAAGTTCTGCTCCAAGTCTGCAGCAGAAGCATAAAGCAGAAGCCTTTAAATTTGTATCAAACGAAAAGGCCTTAAAATTTACAAAAAGAAATGAAAACAAAGCTTGGAAGGTCGGAGTGGTCGAGGAAAACCTCGGTCTACCCCATTGTCAACGCTCGGATCCCCTACTTAATACGGTGAACTATGTGCAAAGGAAGAGAAATCCAAATCCTATTTCCAGTTCAAATTAGAATCTACTAATGTTATATTATCCCCTGTCCTACACTTCCCTCAATCCATGCACATAAGGCAGCTCGATGCCAGCGGAACACAATGCAAGTGGCCACATATCTTTGTATAGATTTTGTTTTTCCTAATGGATAAAAATGCGGGATCGAACATCAACAAAAGCAATAAGAAGAATATAACGTTGATTTGCTTACTTTGGATCGAGTACCAACTTCTGAATCTCTTTAATGGCTGAACTTGCCGCATAAAGTGATATCTTTCCTACCTGCATTAGAACCCAACCGCGGGAATTGAGAATACCAACAAAAGAAATTAGTCTAGATTAGCGCACCAGACAAGAGAGGGCACAACATTTCCAGAACTGATAAAAAATAAAAAAGGAAAAAGAAGGAAGGCACGGAATACTTCTAAGGAAAATTTCCGTTGTCCAACCTCCAACACTTGTAGCTTTGCTTCATGGTCATTTGGAAGACAGCGAATCTCATCAGCTAGTCGTGCAGCCTCACCGAGGCTTTCAGGAGATAAGAAATCAAGACCCAGCTGAACAGTTGACTGAAAAAAAAAATACATAGAGTATGACTTATTCGATTATATGCTAGAAATAAATGCCCTAAAGATTTAGGATATCTAATGTCCCAGAGACCAAATTGTTTTGCTATGTGACATCCTCGAACGACCAAGAAATAAAAATGGTACAGACGCAAGTAGAATTGTACACTTTACATAAACTACTTGTCAAGCCATTCTAAACCCTTCACAATTTCATTCAATAACACGGAATTGGTACTTCAAAAATATTAATTCAGCTACAAAGAAAACTACCTGAAGACTCCTGACTTGAAAAGGGCATCCAGCGGGAATAAAAACAGCTTGCCCCAAATGTTGTTCAAAGGACCATGGCTCAATTCCTGATAAAACAGGAAGAAAAGCATAAGTATTAAGTTCAGAATTTTTATAACTTGAATGCTGAAAATCTCAAAGAATGCTAAATATCAAGATCACAGCCACATGCACTACAAAAAGTAAAATGACGTACATCATCACTGAAGTATAGACCAGTAACCAGTTAGAAATGCAGGTCGCAGTGTGTAAAGTAATTTGCAGAACAGGGAATTCACACGTATAGTTCAAGCCAGAGTCAATTTGACTTCAATTGTAAAAGTCAAATTCAAAGAACACATGTTTCCGTTTACGAAACATGTGCATTCTTCAATTTTCAACAGAAGTCATGGTAACGACCAGGAAACCAGTAAAAAACAGCAGCTGAGTAGACAGCTGCAGCTTGCCTATGGACATTTTGAGGATTTTTGCTAACTAAACCAAAATGGTACACCAGAAATTGGTACAATGGATGGCTACTAGCATAACTATCAACAGAATGTTTTCCCTAAATCATCTTAGTGGGAAATGTATAAACAAAAGGAGGGAAGGGTGTGGGTGGGTGTTCTCTCTACACAAAATAAATAAAAGAGATATAGTTAAGTCATCCTTACCAAATTCCTCCTTCAATTTTCTTTTATGATCCGCATTCAGGAACAATGTCCCGTCATAAAGAGGCAATGTTACCTGATATCCAAAATGTAGTATCAGTTATTTGCACGGTATGCAAGCCAACTCTGTTGAATCAATTGGGGAAAGGTACAGGTATAAAAGACTTAAGAGATAAACTTACAAAAATATTTGTTTCATTGAGCTTCCCAAATTCTTGCCAATGTATTCTCAAATACTCAGTCAGCTTTGGAACATCCAGTCGACGGAAAACATCCCAAATAACTCCCAGATGAGTTTTTTCAGAGACATCTTTACCGTCTCTCTCTAACTGTTCACAGTTGGCGGTGTCATCTTCAACCATAGGAGTGGATTCATGTCCATGGTCTGCCGTACTCTCATCTTTATCTGAGGCCAAGGTTGCCCCATATTCATTCTCCACATTCTGACCAAGAAGTGATACATCAGACCTTGTATCCTCTCCCATACCCATTTGAAGATCCCCGGATGATTCTTCAACCTCAGATTCCTCGGATTTTTGTGTGTTCTCAATCTTTGTCTTCTGCAAACCTTTTAGCTTTACCTCACATGCGTGCACCAGCAGGTATACCTGACCACAGCAGTTTGATAGGTGAAAATATGTTTATTTGATCCAGATAAAAAATTAGTTCATGAAACATGCAAATCAAATGTTCATCCATATCAAAACAATCCAACGCCAAAGAAATAAAAAAGATATGAAGATCTTAAGTTTAATACCTAAACGTAATGTTGCATCAAAACTTATGCACAAAATTGCATACCATTAGCTAAAAGTTCTGACACGGATACATCATAGTACCAAAAAATGCTTTATGTGCACACGTGTGTGTGTATGTAGTACACACACATGTAGAGGAGGTTTCACTTGCACAGCATAAAAGCATGACTCCCCTTGACAGAGTTGATCACATTTACGTCACTTTGTGGTCCACTCCATCAACAGTCCATGGTGGTCCATGACAACCCTTTATTTAAATGTATATCGTCTTACATCAAACAGATGAATTACAAAATTAATAGCCATGTTTGCAAAGCAAAAACAAAATCTACATTAGAAAAAACGATTTGCAACTTCAACATCAATGGCAATAAGTCAACAAACATGAAGAACGACTAACCATGTCATGCATGTTGAAATGGAGATTGGTCAAGGAGTCGTGTCTACCAAGTTCCTCATAGGTCCCATAAGAAATAAAAATCTTAGGTCCAACCTCGTTTTGCAAAGAATAGTGTGGCAGTTTTGCAGCAACATTTAAAAGACCAAACTTGGAGTGAATATACTCAAGTAAGGGCAGTCTGCTGATAAATTCAGGTCTCTGATATAATAAGAACTCTTCAGATGCACTAGGAGAAGGCCAATCTTTGAGTTTCAACATTTCTGGCATACCATTTTCATTAACTCTTCCCTCGGAGTAGCCTTTCATGAATTCACTAAGTTCAATATCAATCTGCCATCATGTCAAAGCACAGAGGTATACTTTAGGTTTACAACACAATATATTACAAATCAACTAAAGAATTATTTCATTACAACAAGAGTTGGTTACAAACAGCTGATACATAATATAAGAAGGAAAGAAAGGCAATACAGGTAAATACAAGAAATAGCAGTTAGAGCGAACCTCAGACCAGTCACAGCAATTTATGGCCTTCACCCTTCTGTTCTCATCCTTTAATTTCTCATCTGCGGTCTCCCGAATCCCTCTCCATATAACCATTGGATCCCAGCTTGAAATTGATGAGCTATCAAACACCTCCTTAACAATGATGGGCTCACCCCTATGCCAATGCCTTTTAAAATTGCCAATCCCATCAGATTTGATATCTTCAGATGCAGCACAGTACAAGAAATTATCGCTATCCTCTCTATGAGCATACTGGCTAAGTCTTGGATCGTTAAGCCCAGTTTTCTCCAGATTGACAGCTTCATTGACTGTACAGCCACTAACCATTTCCTCTGCATTTTTTAATAGTTTTGCAACCCAGTTCATCTTAAAGATACGGCTTAAATTCAACGATGAATGGCCACAGCCACCATACTCCTTTGGAGGGCAAGGGATACTTCCATCACTGTGGGCTTTCCAGTTGGAAAACTTGTCTGCTAAATTTACTCTGACTTTGGACAATTTTGGTTGCTCCAACTTGGTATCTTTTTCTCGCCTATCCTCACCAATTTGATTCTCTACCACCTCTCCTCTAACACCAGGCATGGATGCTTCTCGAAGATCTCGACAACAGTTAAGGCAGAGATCATACGCGCAGCGGGAACAGTGCCAATGATAATCAATGATGGGAATTCTACAGAAATTGCTGCATAACACACATCAAAAGGAAATGTTCTTCAGAACAGGAAGAAAATGTTTGTGACAGTACAGCTGCAATAAATAGACCTAAAATTGCAGACACATCGACAAAAATAAATTAAAACAAAAACTAATAATCTACAGAAACATCAAGATTTCTTCAGTTTCAGGAGAAAATGGAGTTTTGATTAGTTTATCCCCTTACAACAAGTATGACAGCAACGTCAAGTTCTTTCAGTTTCAGGGTAATCTGGATTTTGGATCGCTCTATTTATGAAAAACATGATAGAAACATAGTTCCTTCAAATTCAGGAGAATATGGAGTTTGGGCAAATTCAGGAGAATATGGAGTTTGGGCAAATTCAGGAGAATATGGAGTTTGGGCAAATTCAGGAGAACATGGAGTTTGGGTCACAAACATGGCTGAACAGCCTCAACTCTGTAGGACCACGTGAGTAGGCCCGATTTAAAATGTTTACTAGTTTATTATACTTATTTTTTTTATTAAGAACATTATTCTATGATATGAAGGGGTAAAGTAATTGAATTACCAGCACATTTGCTCATCTGCATTCAATTTTGTCCGGGCAAGATCTATATCAGTTCCTGCAAAATACATATGCAAATAAAATGGTAAAACAATGTACAAAAGACACAAATATATTGAAATCAAAATGCCATGAACATATTAGATCATCTTACCGCGAAGCTTTTTTTCCAGTTCAACTTCAAAGCATTGTACTTGATGGATTTGCTTAACTATAGGAAGCACTGAAGACAGCAGACAGTGGAGATATTTCAACTTATCTAGCACTGGGATCTCTCTTATCCTTACCTGCAAAACAGAAACATCAGAAATACTCATTCACCTAAGCTGATCATCTCAACAGAAAATTCGTCACAAGTTTTTGGAAAATTTAAACTCAATCATGTAACTAGTTCAAGACTCCTTTGTATGAATTACCTTTACCAAATTATCTCTGCGTAGGCACACTCTGCAATTACAAGTGCCACGACATGCTGGACAGGACCTCTGAATCTCTTCTAATGGGATGTCCGAGTACCTAAAAAGTTAAAGCATGAATACAGAATACGGACATGAAACTGAATCACTTAAACATATGCGTATTGTGTCTTTTCAAGACACTCAACCTCACCATGTTGAAATACAGCTGTCACAGTATCCTCTTCTATCACATTTGAGGCACCAAATGACTGTCTCTCTGTCATTCCTCCGACACTGATGGCAAGTTTGGCCACCAGTTTCTTCAGAGGATTCTGATCTTCCATCAGAGTCTTCCTGCAAGATAAAGGTTTTGCCTCAATATTAGAAAACATAAAAGTAGTGATTATCCAATTCTAAATCGAAACATACAGCTGAATGACAAACAGACTAGCAAATGGGACGTTTCAGTCTTTATTCTTGAATCCCTACATTTGATGTTGATGAACTATAATCTAACTATCTAAGCGATACCGAAATGTACTAAAAATCAACAAGTATAACTGACTATTTAAGCACACTTGTTTTACAGAGCATTATTACCCTGTAGGGGAAAAAGCTCTCTTTGTCATGCGTCAGTATGGAAACTATACTAGCAACAATAGATAGCAAAGATCAACTTATAAAAACTAACTGATGCACCGAAGACATTGTAAAACCAACATACCGAAACTGTCATAGCATTAACATCAAAACTCCTCTGCGGTCTGTTCCTGGATGAGTCCAAAGCATTAGCAGGTGGTGACTTATTAGACCTCCAATTTTCCTCATACTCATCCAAGTCCATTTCGTCCTTTGGTTTTGGAGAATTACGCACAGATAAACCCTTCACGGGTGGTCTCTCAAGTGAATAACGAAAATGATTTTTTGATACCTTCTCCATGTACTTTCTCTCCTGTGACTTCACGCTAGCAAGTGGTACATCCAAATCATCACTCTTACTCTCTAAGTAAATATCACTTTCACCTAACGACTTCCTCTTGGCTTTTTTCAAATTTGCTCGCATTGCAGAATTAGCTGCCCTCTTCTTTGCCTGGATGTAATGTTTTTCACATACTGTTTTATCTGGCATAGACATGGCAGTGCACCTCCACTGTTTCCCATCTGATCTCTTGCATCGCAAATCATCCGGAATCCCGACATTATCGTCACCATTCCCAAGGGCCAAACGTGGTTGATCCATTACAGCGAACTCGTCACAGTTCTTTTACACTGCTTACAGTGTTATGCTTGCAAGACCTACCTACAAAAAGCCCTTTAATCAATGTAATAACATCAAAGAGTGCCTCAGACTCCAAAGAATTAGACATACACTAGCTTGCAACAATGTTGGTCAACTCACAGAAATATCGGCAATGCACAAGCGGAATCACGGTGCCTATGACAAAATTAAAGCATTTTCGCCTAAACAGATCCGAAAGCAACAAACTACCCTACTAAACTCCTAGAACCATACATAGGTTCTGTGAATTCTAATGCGGTTTTTCAAATCATAGCAGATCAGTTTGAGTTAAAGGGCCAAGCAATAAAATTGTCACCATTAATGCCAGGGCAACGTAATTACAAGGGGAGAATGCAGCCTTACCTCGCTTTGCAAAGAGGCTGTTTCCACGACTTGAACCCGTGACCTTTTGGTCATAAAGGAGCAACCTTTCCGTTGCGCCAAGGCACGGTATTTAAGTTAAAAAAACAGTCTCTCCCCTCCACTGCCTAAGTTAAAGACCCAAATCCTGCATTTTTTTCCTCAAAACTAAATTTTACAGTCGACAAACAGTAAACTTGAAAAATCTCAATTAAAAAGTTAAACCATTCAAATTCAATTGTGTGTTTGTTCTTAACAACGCTAAAACCTACTCTAATTCTACCAAACAAGAAGCAACGAAATTAAGAGAGAATAATTAAACTATAATTAAGTAGGGAACCTATGATCAAACAAGAGGTAGAGAAAAATCTATACACGTATCGAGTTTCTTCGTTCTTCAACGACAGAATTTCCTGAGCTCAAAATTCCAGGCAGAATTCAGATCACAGAAGGAGAATTTGAGGTATTTTTAGAAAGAGAAAGTACCTGAATGCTGAAATTAGGGTTTCATTGAGACGGCAGCGGACGAAGGCACTGAAGCATATAAATTCAATGGAAGGAGACGGCGTCTCTCTCTCTCTTTCTCTCTCTAGCTGTCCGTGTCGTTCTAGTGTTTGTGTTTGGGTTTAATTTCGATTTTACCTTTTAACTTGTGTTTTCTCTTTTTGCTCTTCCGGCTATTTTCCGACATCTGTGAAACTATACCAGAAAACCCAGACTTTTTTTTATTTTTTTTATTTTTTTTAAGTTAGTAGAGAATCAAAGCCTATGCCATGTAAGAACTGTTTAATTTTTTTTCTTTCAGTACATCCATATTTTTAGATTAAGCAGAGAGAGTTCAACAAAATCACATAATGAACAACCTAATTTAGTATCAAATTCGTCATTCACGAGATTTGAACTAATACATCTCACTTTCAAATAAAAAAGAATACGATCAGACCGTAATATTAAGTGACAAGAATTGTATAATTTTTAATCGTTATTTAGTAATCATTCCTACACAAAAATTGTATTTGAATCTAAATATTAAAATGAATCAAACAATTATCACGTTGTACAACAATCTAATAATATTTCTTTTTATTTGAATTGACATTTGTTTTTTAACACTTTCAAGTTTTACATTGAGCATTAAAAAATAGATGTCAATTTAAATAAACTTTTCTAAAAACAAACGTTTGAGTGGGACTAAGATCCCAACCTAATTTGACTCTCAAAAGCAAACACTTTGACGTCACACGATGCCCACGCCCTTGAAAATCCGGGTTCTCGTCGAAATTTTTTGTGAAAATTTCGAAAATTCGTCAATTGTATTTGTTTATCGTAAATTGTGAATTTATTTTAAATATTTTTATTTAAAATTAAACATAAACAATACTTGATAAAAACTGACCAGCACGATATACGATAAACAACCACAATTCACGAATTATAAGAATTCTTACCAAGAAGATCCGGGGAGGATCTTGATGGCGATAAAACAATTTAGTTCCTTCAGTCGTACTTTTCAAAACCCCTGCCAAACAACCACGCCCTCCATTTTAAATTAATTATAATAAAAAAACCCCACAAATCCCAGAAATAATACGTTTCTCTTTCTCTTACAAAAAAAAAGGGACACAGCAAGCGTAGGCTTCTGAGAGAGAAAACAGAGAAAAAATGGCTATGGCTCGGGCGAGCTCGGGGCTCCAGTACCCCGAGCGGTTTTACGCGGCGGCCTCCTACGCCGGCTTCGACGGATCTCCTCGCTCCACCTCCAAAGCCGTTCGCGCCAAGTTCAGCTCTGAGTCCGCACTCATACTCTACGCCTTGTACCAGCAGGTACATCCCTCCACTGCCTCCTCCGATCCCCATTCCTCTCACATTTCTGAAAATTCGATCTCAATTTTATCTACCTTGATTCCCGATCGCATTGCTCGTACAAATGCGAATTGCGCGGTTAATCTGATTTTTCACTCTGCTGCAACATTTTGCGTTTTGGAATTTTACTGATTGGCAATCCCCTTTCTGATCATTTTTGCTCGGATTTTGTTGCATGGAGTGCTTTATTTGCGTTTTGATGTGGTTTTGATTGGTGATGTGGATTTTGATTGTTCAGTGGAGTGCTTGAATTTTGCGTTGATTCGTTCGTGTTTATTTTCTGCAATGATGATATGTGATATACGTAGATCTGGTTTATCGAATTCCAGATTTGTATATTTTGGATGTTGATCTAATTCTTGGATTGAATTCTCTTTATCTATGCAATTGTGTATGTATCTATTGTGTAATTATGGATGCATGTATGTGAATTATGTCAATGTAATGTGTGTCAATGTACGCATTTGAGTGGTTTTGCATTGCAATTGCAGGCTACCGTAGGGCCTTGTAACATACCGGAACCTAGCGCTTGGAATGCTGTTGAGAAAAGCAAATGGAGCAGGTACACTGCTAGTTACTGCTTCCTTATTTTCATTTTAAGATGGCATACTTGTGTCCGGAGGTTTCTATGAGATTTGCACTAGACACAAATTGCATGTGTCATGATTCTAGTTCGATTAGAAATCATTGATTTGGTACTCAGTAGTTGCTGTTTAGAATCTTGAACTTACCAGTGAATAGCATGTTCTGGTCCATAAGTAAGGAACCGTGGAGGGAGGGGGATTGGGTGTATTGGTATAAAAATATTAGATATAGAACCCGCAAGTTATCTGTGGCATTTTGGGCCTATTACTGCTAGATTTGAGAGAATATGCATAAGCTAATTATGACCGATAGGAGTAGTTTCACTGAAATGAAACCAGCTTTGAAAATACTGGCTGAATCTCTCTCTCCCCATTGTTGCATTTCATTTAGTTATTTTCTCTAGGAACCTCTCCTTTGGTACAATCCTATACAAGTCTTTGGGTAATAGAGTGTGCAATTGTGTTAACCTCAGCTGCACATTGTATTTTATATCTGCAATGTCATGCATTTATTCCCACTGTTGAGTTTTTTTTTAATGGTGTTTCACATAAACAATTTCCAGCTGGAAGAAGATTTCGGACATGGCTTCCACTGAAGCAATGCGTCTTTTTGTGAAAATATTAGAGGTATGTGCAATAAGATTTTCTGGTCCATGTTTTTGCCTTTTAATGAAAAGCTTCACCAATAAATCTTGATTTGCATTATTTTTGAGTAGGAGGAAGATCCAGGTTGGTATTCAAGAGCATCAAACTTTGTTTCAGAGGCTGTGGTAGATGTACAAATGAACGTGAGTATGGAAATTATTTCTATGATATTCTATTTTCTTCTTCGTCCATTGCCAACTGATCATAAACTAAAAGAACTTGCTTAATCTGCAAATCTTTTAGAGACTTAAGGGGTTCGTCAGTCCTTTGTACTTAGTGTTTCTCTCTGTGTTTTATTGTTTTTGGTTGGTTATAGCAATATTCAAGTATTCAGCCAGTTGTTGAGAATGGTAACTCTTTTCCCGAGACCAAGACAATCTCCACTGAAAACGGGAGCGTAGTGGAAGCTCAGGATAAAGATGTTGTCTCCGAAGGCTTTGGATCAGTTGTTGTCTATGATCAATGGATTGAACCTCCAGTGTCTGGCCATCGTCCAAAATCCCGATATGAGGTATTTGGGTATCTGTATCTTCATTTTCTTCATCTTCTCTGCCTTCTTCTTTTTGAGCATAGTGTTCTCACCTTTTCAGCATGGAGCGGCGGTTATTCAAGACAAGATGTACATCTATGGTGGAAACCACAATGGTCGTTACCTAAATGATCTCCATGTAAGCAACATATTTGCATGTATACACCTATACAAATTTACAAATCATAAGTGATCTACATTGGATGGTTGGCCAATTCTTACTATGGTGTAATTGGGGGTTTTGTGTTATAGATACTTTTTCTTGTTCTTGCTAATTGGAAATACAGGTCTTGGACTTGAGGAGTTGGAGTTGGTCAAAGATTGACGCCAAATCTGTGGCTGAGTCAGCTGAGGCACCCTCACCAGTAACAGTAACCCCATGCGCGGGTCATTCGTTGGTTAGTATTGCCCCTCAGTTAATATTAGAGTCAAGGCTCTATTACAAACACATGAATATCCCTCTTTTTTTTATGACTTTTGCTGTAACGATTATGAATACCTACTTTAATGTGCTATCGTTTCTCTGTTTCTGTAGATACCTTGGGATAATAAACTTATTTCAATTGCTGGACATACAAAGAATCCTACTGATTCTATTCAGGGTAAGAACTAATAACTATTATCATGGTGCTCTTTCATTTTCTGCTGACATCAAACCTGGGGTGATATCTTGGTCTTTCTGCTTTAACCATTGCTTAATAGAACCTCTGTCTACATTCAATTAAAGCTTTTCAGGACTGGTCCATTTTTGTATTAAATGTGTGCTTTCAAAGTAGTAAGAAAAACTCCTTTCACGTTCGTGCAGCCTTATTATTTTGCCATATTTTCTTTACCTTGATTCAGTTACTGCTTTCTTACGCTTTTCCTCATGTATTGGCATGACAGTGAAGGCATTCGATCTACAAACTTGCTCATGGTCATTCTTAAAGACTTATGGGAAACCACCGGTATTTATTTATTTGCTCTACTGTTTCGTATTTGTGAAAATCTGTGTGTTAGCACAAGGGTGGGGTTTGAATTTTGGGAATCATGGTCCTTTCCCATTCATGTTTTACAGGCATCACGTGGAGGTCAATCCGTGTCTCTTGTTGGAGGCAGCTTTGTGATTTTCGGGGGACAAGATGCAAAGAGATCTCTCTTGAATGACCTGCATATTCTTGACCTAGAAACAATGACGTGGGATGAGATTGATGCTGTGTAAGATTTTTCTTGAAACTTCAGAAGCACTAGTAACATTTTGTTTTCTCTTTGGATGGTAGTACTCACATAATTGGCAAATTTTGTTAAAAGGATGTATACTGCGGTATGTGAAAAAGTCATTTTTCTGCATTAATGATAATGACAAATGTTGGCACATATTTCTATAAGGGTTTGGAATGGGCTAGACTAGAAAATATATGTTCAAGACATGCATGTTCTTTGATCAACTTGTGATGTTAAATTGTTAATATATTTCAATCTTTCACAGAGGGGTGCCTCCTTCTCCGAGGTCTGATCATACTGCTGCAGTCCATGCTGACCGCTATCTTCTTATATTTGGTGGTGGTTCTCATGCCACTTGTTACAATGATCTCCATGTCCTTGATTTGCAAAGTGTAAGACAAGTTGTCTATTCTGAAATTTCTTTACATGTTTAATAAAACTATCACTCACGTCTTTCATCTATTTGGACTGTATAGATGGAGTGGTCAAGACCCACACAACAAGGTGAAATACCAACTCCACGGGCTGGACATGCAGGTGTAACTGTTGGAGAGAATTGGTTCATAGTTGGTGGTGGGGACAACAAGAGTGGTATGTATGCTATAATTTTGAGTCTGGTTGGTTTTGAAATTCATAAAACTTCTGGTTGATCTACTTTTTAACTGGACTCCACTTTACTCTATGCAGTTAGGTATTTATCTCTTCAATTTTTATCTTTGCAGGTGCTTCAGAAACTGTTGTCCTAAATATGTCCACACTTGTTTGGTCTGTTGTAACTACCGTTGAAGGGCGCATTCCTGTTGCTAGTGAGGTATTCTATTCTTGGGAACTCTGTATAGCTAACCTAGCTTGAGGCTTTGAGCTACATGAGCGATT